CTCTCAGCCGCCCTAGTGCCTGCCCAGGGCAAGGTGCCCCTGGAAAGCACTGGAGACTGGGTATCTAGTGCTGACCCTAAGTGGGTTATTGGGAACTACGTGCCCCGTGTCAGCAGGGATTTAGGGCTGAGACACCGAGGCTGGTACCACTTAGAGGCACTGATAAAACAGCTGCTCAGTGTTTACTTTGGAGAGTGCAGTTTGTTCACCTGGCGGAGTGTTAGTTATGATTAACTCATTTTTTAAATTCAGCTTTGCTTTTCCAGTCCTTTTCCACTGTTAAAATTAGGGTGTTTGACCTGAGGCTTCGTGGTGGCAATTCTGTTCGAAGTCCACTTTGCTCCCCTCTTCCCCCACCTCCATGCAGCTACTGAACACCAGGCCATGATAACAACCAGTCTTTTACAGAGTCATTTTTAAGCCAGTTAAAAATGCCATTTCAGTAGATTGCTCTATTTGAGTTAGCAGGAACAAGCTGTATCTTTTTTATTGCTTTTGACTGGTGAAGTGCAAGGTTTAGGCTGCGTTTGATGTGGGCTATAAAGTTATATTAATGTGTCGGTTAGTGGTCAGAAGTTCTGTATGTGTAACTAATGTGTAAATAGGAAAAATTCCCTGTGGTACAGAGGTCATGATGTTTTCTCTTTTGTTGCTTCCCTTACCCTTTGGAGAGTTGCTTAATCTTTTATGCAAATTCTCATTCTTTATGCAGAAGTGAGGATTTTTTTTGGTGGTGTTTGGTTTGTGGGTTTTTTTTCCACAGAACATCCAAAAAAGCTATAAATTGCTATCTTGCCATCTGGGAAAGTAGGAGACAATTCTTTTGATTATCTATGCAAGAAGATAAGCTAGCAGAGTGGAAATATTCTTCCCTACTTGGTAACTCTTTCATTCTCAGAGTGGTCTCCTCCTTCTGAAGGGACTAGAACCATCAGGGAATGAAATGAATGAATCAAATCCTGATCTCCACTTATCTCCATCAATCAGAGCAGCAAGAACAGGCTGTTCTCTTGAGGGCTGCTGTGTCTGCACTCAAAAAAGAGGGAAGAAGACAAGTGTCTGTGGCAGGCAAGGAAATTGAGCAACATGCTGAGCTCCCTTTTTATTACTTCCAGTGTCCACATTTGCCCCTATACAGCTTACATGGTTTGGGTAGTCTAAGGTTGAATGGAAGCTAAAAATTAAAATGCATGGAGGAAATTGAAGAGATTTACTTGTGTGAGAGGGTCAGTAGAAAGCCTTTGACACAGGATTTAAAAGATATTTTGAATAGGACTTGAAGCAAAATATAATGGGCCAGAATTTATGACAGCAGGCAACCACATTGCTGAGCAGTGTGAATTGTCTAAAGAAAAATATAGGATGGATATCTCCCATATTGATTATTTATTGGGATAACTGCAGTCAGTTTTGGCTCAAAGGTTGTTTTTAGACTCAGGGAAGCTCTGACTAGTTTGTCACAGACAAGAACTTACTTATCCTATGATATGTCCTACAAGGGAAGGATGTTTCATAACAGAAAGACATGGATTGCAGAACCTGTTGTTGTCCTACTATTTGCATACCATACCATATTATTTTCTAGAGAAAATGATAGGCTATTTACAGTCAAACCAGACAATCAACTGCAGACTGTCCATATTAAAATAAACAACAATTGCATAGCACTTATCCCTTTAAAGGGATTATTTAAAATTCCTGGATTTCAGGGAATAAATGATATAGGAGAAGGAAGAAGGTTTTCAAATACTAAAAAATATCTTTAATATTTTCTATTATGCTAGTTTGGAATACTGAATGGGAAGAGATGAAAGTTAATGCGTTGATTTATAGAAATTATTTGATCAGTCCTTGTGCGGGAAAACACAGTTGTTTCTCCCTTTGCCCATGCCTCCATTAGATTTTACTGAGCAAATTTGTATTTGCTTAACATATCCCTTGGTAGCTCTTGCATAAATTGAGCCAGAAAAACCACTTAACTTTATAGGATGCTGAATCCTGGTATCAAAAGTCAATAGCATATTTTCTCTTAGTAGCTTTGCATTTACTTTAAAAGCTTCCCTTCACCTGGAAATAAGGCCTGTCCATATCTTCACAAAGTAGGTGTTCCCTGACACTAATGCAGTGACTGACACTACTGAAAGTAATAGTCCCATTCCCTTTGCAGCCAGGAGCTCCTAAATCTGCTTTTCGTTATCAGTATAATGGGGTTGGATACGTTTTTAAAAGGTGGTGCCTATTGATTACTTAATGGAAAAAGTTAGTATAGAGAACTGCTGAAGCAGCCCTATTCAGTGCTCTCCAGTGCAGCAACACCATTATCTAGAACAGTGGAAATCATCCTGTAACCCTTATTAATATTTAATAAGGATGAAGCAGCATTGAAGCATACTACCAAATAGCCCCAGGGTCCTGCACGTGTAGGATATAAGGTTGTTTCCAGGGTCAAAAAAGAATAACTGTGCCCAAGCTGTTTATAGGTAAGACCAACACTAAACAATGTTTTCCCTCTTGTTCCTTTTAAACTATTTCCAGCACATCTGCACTTTAATATACACTTATTCCTACTAGACATATTGAAGTGTTGGAATGCAACAGAAAGGTCAGTGTATGTTTAGAGATTGCTGAGACAATTTTATACTTTCCCTTCCCAGTATTGCTGTGAATCCCAGGCTCCCTTCTCCCTCCTGCTCTGTGCTGCAGGGCACATTTGGCTGGACTGACAAGCTAGTCAAAGGTGTTAATCCTGTCTAATAGGACCATAATCCTCAGGGCTGTGTTTTTATATCATACTGTTGAGCTAACCCCTTGTCGCAGGATGTTCTTCATCTACTTAATAGCAGAGCTCTTTATGGGAATTTTAGATAAAATTAAATGTACAATTCAAATTGTAATTTTCATTTCCACAATGTAAAAACAAACAAATAAACCACAGTGTTTAGACAACAGAGATTCTACAATCAATTAAGAGGAGAGCTGTGTGATTTTTGTATTTTTTTTTTCCCTCAGTGAATAGTAAATGTCATTATATCTGTCCAAAAATATTCACAGATCTGGGTCAGTTTCTTCAAATAACCTTTGCCTGGAAATATTTTTCAGGTTAGATGTGTCCAGAAATAGAGGGCTGGGGGGAAAGAGGATGTTATTATTCTTTTAACCTGCACTGCTTAGAATATGGAGCTAAATTATGAGTAGACTTTTCCATCTGACTCTGCTCAGGCTCCCACTGCTATGTCTACATTCATTTTTTTTGGGGGTAGGTGGCAGAACTGGTTAATAAATAAGTTTGGGAAAATGGAGAAACACATCCAGGAGGGATTCCTCCTTAACTTCTCTGGAAGCAGCTCCATGCCAGCACTAAGCATGCCTGCAGTGTGAAGGCAGGCAAAGGCACTGGCTCCCAAACCAGTCCTTTGTTCCTCCTCTCCTGTTGGCCAAAGGATGTTCTACCTCTGCTGCCTCTGAGGCTGCCTCATGACAATTCTTGCCTGATGGAGAAGATTGGAACTCTGTAACAGGAAAGCTGGGAGCTCACAAGTCTTTTGTGAAGCTCCTGGATTGACAGCAAAAGGAGGGAGCTGGAGATGCCAGGTGAAGAGTGCACAGTGGGTGCTTTAGAAATCTGGGGGAGATTCAAATATGACTCTTGTGGCTGGGGGTGGGGGAAGAAAGCAATGGAACAAGGAACTAGTTTGGCTGAAATCACATGGGCAAGGCAAAAGGATGAATAAGTACAGGAAAAGCTGTAGCCCAGATACTCTGAAATCACTTATTAAATCAGACAGAATGTATTTACTTTGTGGTTTACTATTTTGTTCAGTGTTTTTTTCCTCCAGTATTCAAAATCCAGAGGGGATTTTGAATACTCTAAAATAGACTGAGTTTATATTGCCTCATGTATAATAGTGAACCCTGCTCAAGAGCTCTCATACTGCATTAAAGATTTTCATTTAGTATGGAAGAGGGAAGTACTTAAAAAACCCCAAGCCATTCTAGATGTAGCTGTGAGTATTGGTGAAGACATAAAACAAGCTCTTAAAGACACTGTAGAGTGGATAGATGTCCAAATTCTGCTGTTTCTAGGGCCACACTTAAAGGGACAACCAGCTTGGCATCAATGCTGATTTTATGCATCTTGCCCCCATAGGCAGTGCAGTGTGAGGCAGCTCTGCCTGAGCATGTCTGATAGGTATTTCTGTATGACCCCACTCCTCAAAATCTGTTGTGCCACCTCCCTCCTTTCCATGCCACTTATCCACATGCAGAAAGAGTGAAAACTAGGAGAAGTCAGAGCAATCCATTCACTGTCTCGTAATGCACAGCTCAGGTGATGCAGCTTTGTTAAGCCAAGTAAAGCTGTGGCCTGGCAGAAAATTGTACCCACCTATGTTTAAAAATCAGAACTTCTCATTGGAAAATTGGGAAGAAAAGTACAAGGCCTGTCTGAATATTGTGTTACATACTCCCTTTGCAATATGTGCATTTTGGACAAGATGTATTCATAATCCTCAACAGTCCTTGCTCATTCCTGATGGTAAAGAACCATAAATTTTCTTCTCAGCCACAAAAATACATTGTATAAATTGCCACAATTTACACCACCACAACCAAGTCTATTGCTTGTATCATATTTATGATGACACCTTTTTTTTTAAACTCATAAACAAGTCTTTCTTACCTGCAAATAATGCATGGTTATTTACATATATGAGTAATGTGAAACAGATGTAGAAGAACTCATAATCATATCCATTACCTAATTAGTATTTGAAGCAGTATTGTTTCTCTTACTTATTTTTCTACTTCTGCCTGTACAGTCATAATTTTTTTTCCCCGACAGTCACCTCATATTTTGTTTCTAGCTGGATGCAGCAGTTCATGGTCCACTGATATGGGAGGGATTTTCAACACCAACAGGTGGCTTGACAGTTTTATTTAAATCTTAATAAGAGAACAAAGCAAAACAGCACCAGTGAGTCAAGGTTTGTCTTCTTTTGCAGCGCACGAGCAGCTTTGGGAGCTTTGACCGTTTCAGGCATCACTCGATATCAAAGGCAGATGATTCAGCTGAGGTCTGTACAACACAAAGTTTAAATTTCTGCAGTTCACTTTCCTGTGACAGTTATGCAAAAACATTGGGAAGCAGTTGTGTAAATATTGCAGTGCTGAGAACTTTACTTGTATACCTGTGTCTGTTCAGTGATTGAGGCCTTGACAAAAAAACCAAGAGAATCCCAGCTAAACTTTGGCACTTTGATGTAAAAATAGAAACAATTAAAAAAAAAAGTGCACTTCACATTGATGCATACCCAAAGTAACCAGCACTTTACAAGTAACCCACAGATGTCTCACTTTTGTTTTCAAGACCTCTGCAAAAATTCCCTCAATTCTTATTGATATTAGGGACAATAAATAATGGGAAACAACATTACCTACCATAAAATATATTTTCTTTCTGTCATTTATACATATTGTGCTGAAAAGATGTTTAGGTACACAGCTTCCAAGGAAAATGGCCATGGCTGAATATTGTCATGCTAACTGTGTTAGTGTCCTTAATATTTCCCCGTAATTTTTGCTTCAGCTTGCTGCATTTTATTTTCATGGTGAGTTATTGCTTACTTTCTGATTTCAAAACAGATATCTGAGCTGGAGACTATAAGTGACATTGGGGAAGCAGTACAAATCAGAGCAGCAAACAATGGAGGAAGTCTGAGTAAGAAGATGAGAGCCATTTCACTTACCATGAAGAAAAAGATGGGTAAAAAATACATCAAGGCACTCTCTGAAGAGATGGTAAATACAGCCCAAGAGCCTTGGGTTTGTTGGAAATACATGTGAAGTAGTAAAAATATTATGTGCACTTTTTCTGTTCATGCTTCAACTCTCCTCAGTTGTGACAAACCATAAAACCAGGGTAACAGCACATACTGAATTAAGACAGCTTTTGGTATGTACCTGCTCTTTCATGTGCATTTTAGTGTACACACAAATCACACAGTAAGGCCCAAGAGAGTCATAAGAATTTTACTTCATTTAATTTTGCTTTTACATCAAGGAGCACTTGTATGAGCATGTGTGTATGAGCACAAAAAAACCCTCATCATGTGGACACAAGGGAGTTTTGGTTGAACCCCATCATCAGTCTGATGCTCAGTGTGTACAAAAAGCTTAATTAGAAGAATTTATCTTCTGATACAAGAATTATTTCTGAAGTCCACTGTGTAAAGGTCAGCCAGCATCCTAGAGAATTCCAACTCATATGCCTTATCTCCTTTTACCTTATCTAATCTTAGTGAAACTATCTTTATTAAACATAAAAAATAATGTTTCAATCGTGCACATATTGAAAACCCTGTTTTCTCAGTACTTTGTATCAGCAAGTTCCAAAATTTAAAACCATAAGAAAAAAACTTGTCACGCTTAACAGTCCTAAAAAAATCTAGCTAGTCTGCATCCTATCTCACGTGTCAATATCAGGTAAGTAAGGAAAATCAATGAGGAAGGTCACAAGTAGAAAATAATTTTTCAGAGGATACCTTTAAATACCTTTTGGTTTTTAAAGACCAAGGAGGACCAAGACAAGGATCTGTATATAATTAGTTTGGTTTTCTTTTATTTTTTTTTTCTAAAGTGCAATCAATGATCTTTATATTATATTTTTGTGTTTCCTTTCTGCACATTTTAAACAACAATTCTCATGACAGAAATTCAATGGATTATCTGGTTGGACACACATGTAGCATGATCTTTGTTCCTGCAGGAGATGATGACAATCAATACCAGCCTCCTGATTAATCTGTTGTGCTGCTGGCTGCTGTAACAAGCACAGTTCTTGTTAAAAACCAGTATAGTTCTTCATTTCAGTGCTCTGCCTGATATATACCTGTATGGGTCTCTAATTCATACATGCACTGCCAACTTTGCTTCATCATCTAGCTGGTGAATAACTAATTTTTACCCAAATATCGTGTGCTGAAGGCAGTTTCGGTTGCATCAGGATATCACATGCACTGGCAACATGATGAATACTACTGAAAAATCCCTCCCTTTGAAAGATAATTTCTGTTTCATTTACCTGTTACATCATCTCTAACTTAACTGTGACTGAAATATGGATCTTATTGTTTTGAACAGGCTGTGATTCCTGAGGTGTGATTTATTGGGATAAACTCAAGGGGCCAATTTCATAGACCATTAGACTTTGTGAGAGAAACAGGTACCTGTTAATTCTGAAATGAGGACAGGGTGAATGCTGGGCAGTGTGGTGAGCACGGTGCTAGAACACACCAGTGCCCAGCTGTCCCCAGCCTGCCACCAAGCAACCACCATCTTCAGTGCAAAACACAGCTGTGGCAGCCAGCTCTTCACCACCTGCTTTCAGAACTGAGCTTTATATTTCCTTCTCTGAGACAAGCAGACAAAATCTTATCAGGCTGCCCACAAATTTCCCTTTACAAGTTTTCAGCTCTGACGTGGTGTGTTGCAGTCTTCCTAGCTTAGCTGTTTGAGCAGGGAGGGGATGAAATGAGTGGGACAAAAACAGGAGGGCATTTCTCCAGGATCATAAAATACTAGGGGTGATTGTTGGGCATGGTTAGTATCAGGCATCCACTTCTAAAATGCTTTCTTTCACAAAAGAGTTATTAATAAAGTGCAATGATGAACTGATCTCCAATGATGCTTTAAAACAAACAAAAAATTCTCTAAAACCTATTTCTTGGGGGTTCACATTTGATTTTCTGTGTTAAAGAATGAAGAGGGAAAAGAAGACAGTGATCCTGGTGGTGGAACACACACTGAGAAGGTCTCCCTAAAAACCAGCGATTCTCTGGAAAGTCTCTATAGTCTGAACAGTGGCCAGAGCTCATCTAGTAAGTACAAGACACCTATACTTCTTATTCAGTCACTGGATCAATATAGTTATTGCTTATGTCTGGGGAATCAGAGCTGGTGATCAAAAATGTGATGGTAGAGAGCTCTTCATTCTGGCAGACAAGTGTAATTTGGTTAAATGGGTAGAACCTAGGGTAGATATACATCTATCCAGAAATAGGTTGAGTGTTTTTAATAGTGGAAATACTAACTGAAGAAAAAAAATGACAGGAATTGTAGGGCATAGTGCTGGTACACATACACCATACATTTTTGTGGGGTTATCACTGCCTTAGTGCTGGGTTTGCAATCACTGGGTGCTGCCACACAAGTGTCCTCTCCTGGCTGGCTGTGAGTTCATCCTTTGCCCTGGAGATGTGAGGCTGACAAAGTTTCCCTGAGATGGTGGAAGATGTGGGTCTCACCTGACAGCTCTGGGACATGATGCAGAGAGACACAGCCCACCTGAAACCCAGTGAAAACCCTCCCCAGCAGAGTAGCCTTGGTCAGAGGAGTCTGATCAGAAATGTGCCTCCACCTCACTCTGTGTTGCCCTGCTGTGGATATCTGCTGGGTGGCAGGCCACAGCTATCCCTGCTGTGCCACTCTGCAGGCACTGCCTGAGCCCTAAGTGCAGACTGCAGCTGCAGTCCAGACCATTTGCACTTAGAGTTAATCTGGCCCTGAGATGGAGCTGTGCACTTAAGCAATCACCTCAAACAAAACCATTTTTATGATCATTTTCTGTGACGTGATTTGTGAAAATCGTATATGGGAGTTTACTTCCAATACACTGCTGCTCTTATCTAAAAACATATTTGGATGGGATATTGCAGAGCTTGCTCAAATTTGCTTGAATTACTCTGCTGATATTTTATTGCTCAACTTGGATAAAATGACAGGCAGAAATGTTGATAAGATTAAAATTTCCCTCTGCAATGCAGGTTCCTTTGATGTTTCAGCTAGCTCTGGAATGAAATAAAATAACTTCTACAGTACTTGTTTTCATTTCTCTGAATAAACAGGAGAAGTTCAGCAGAATTAATTCCTTAAATTGCACTTTTAGGGTACATTTTATTAATCTGCAGAGGTAATATTTCAGAAAGTCTGTAAATAAAATGTGTAGTCTATTAGTATCATCACCAGAAAAAGATTACTTTAGGGAAGATATTAATGAAATATCTCCTACCCATTTTGTTCTGTCTCTTGTAGCATGATTTTTATTGAATGTAGTTATCCTGGAACGTGTCAAACCCACAGAGAATACGCTCTGTCTCTGATTCTGTGGTTTTGACCCCCCTCCTTTGGGCTGCTGTGCAGGGTTGCATGCCTGGGTGTTTGGTGCAGGGGTCTCTCAAGCTGCCTCTCTCCCAGGTGGGGTGACCAGCTGCTCCGATGGCACGAGCAACAGGGACAGCCTCCGCTTTGACGACGAGGTCCCCTACAACGGCCCCTTCTGCGGCCGAGCCAAAGTCCACACCGACTTCACACCCAGTCCTTATGACACTGACTCGCTGAAAATCAAGGTAAGACAACCACCAGGACTCCTTCTCTCCCACTAGCAATGCCAGGAGGACCATTTTTTATGTGTAAATAATGCATTTAATAATGAATTTTTAACTGCTTAAGCTCGTGGAACACTCTAAAAGCAAGGCTGATCTGGTTTCCAGTGCTTCTATAAGGACTTAGTTCAGACAAGGCTGCAAAGCCAAGTGCTGTTGAAAGCTTTTTAAGGCACAGATTCCAAGTAGAAACCTCTTCATGATATCTCCCTACCTACCCCAGCCTTCCTCAGAGTAAAATACGTGTTGCTTCCCACATACATGGTCTGGAGTAAGAAAGAGTAAAGTCTCATGGGATGTGAAGTTGTCTCCCCAAGCTTTCCCAGTCACAACTAGGATATTTCCAAAGCTCAGTGGCACCCATTGCCTTTAATAAAAACAGTTTGCCTTTCCATTAAACTTTTCTCTAAGCCTATGTTTGAGCTGTGAACATTCCTCAGCTCAGACATGGCAAGGGGTGTCTGGGCTGTGTGAGTGAGGAACATAACTTAAAACCAGCTGAACATTACTTAAAAACCCAGCCCTTCAGACTCTTTTCTTCTTCACAGCTTCTTTATTTTGCCAAATCCTGTATCTCACACAGACTCCCTCTCCTCCTCTCCAGCCTACATGAGAGCTGTTGCTCTGCTGGTACTTGCAGACTTCAGCACTTGCCCTTCATTTCCACCCACATCTAGGGCATTTCTTTTAGTACAGTTTAACAGTTTTAACTATTTAACTGGTCATGAAATAGCAAATATCTGGTGGTTCATATAGGTTTCTTTTTTAGTAATTAGGGTGGTGTATTTTGGAATTATAAGCTAATACTTAGGGTTGAAATCCCCTGTATTTATCACACAAAATTTCAGTACCCTGAATCTGAATTCAAAGTGTATCTGCAGCTTGGCTTGGAGACACTGCCTAATCCTGACCTGCATCCACATCTGAAGCTCCTGAGCCTGCGCGAGTTTGTAGAATAACATGTGCTTATAGAGCTTTAAGTAAATGTTTGTTTAGTTTCCATTTCAAATGTGCTTACAGCTCTGAGCCCCACGTTCTAACTAAACCAGGTCACCAGCTCACAGTCAATTCTGTACTTGGGTTTGTACCAAAACTATGGTGACCACTTGACCTGCTGTTCCTTAACCAGACCAGAAAAGATGTACATCATGGAGCTGTGGACACATCTTAACCAACTGAGTTTGATTTCTAACTTTGTAACAGAATCCCAAATGAAGCAGGTATTTGTTGGATAACTCTTCAAAGGCTTTCAACATTTTTCTGTGATACATGCCAAGAAGAGAGGGCTCATTTTTGAGGTCCTTGGGGGCAAGTTGTGTAGGGTGCATGACTTTGTGAGAGCCTTTTTACTACGAGAATTACTCAGAGTGAGTGTTTTCCTGACCTGAGACCTTGGTTCCCACAGTGTGTCTGTGAACACCTTCACCAAAAAACCCTCTTGAAATAGCTGCGTTGTCATCCTTTTAAGCACTCATATTTGTTAAGGGATTTAAATGTTCTTTATTATCTTTGAGAAATGCAGACAGTGATTTTTCCTGTAAAATGGGTAGGAGTCCACCTTTCACATAGATCAGCTATCTGTTTTTGAAGACCCTTGAGAGGGTAGATAATAAGATTATTCTGTAAATGCTATGGCATATATTTTGAAAATAACCTTACAGTAATCCCTTGCTTTTGCCCAAACTATGCCCACTGCCCATGACAAAAGTTAATTGCTGATGCAACCCTATCCCTTTTCAGGGACCAAGTGGAGCACAAAAATAGTGAGAGGGCTGCTTATGCTCACCTCTCCCTCACAAAGGTTTGGAGATAAGGACTAGCTCCACTGTCTGTAATTCTTTCCCTGGGATTTTATAAAAGCAAAGGCACTAAATCTAGGTAATTAAAAAAAGTTACTTCACACTGACTAGTGCTGGTTTTAGTCCATAGAGGAAAAACTGCAAATAACAGACCAGAGGTGTAAGCAGTGGTGTGCTTTTTTTACTGTTCTAGAAAGGAGACATCATAGATATCATCTGCAAAACTCCCATGGGTATATGGACAGGCATGCTGAACAACAAAGTAGGAAATTTCAAGTTCATTTATGTGGATATTATCTTGGAAGAAGAAGCTGCACCCAGAAAGATCAACCCACACAGAGGAAGCAAAAGGACCAAGCCTAAAACATTGCAAGAGCTCCTGGAATGTGTCCACCTGCAGGTCAGCCAAGGCATTTCCCAGCTCTATTTGAAACGTTCCCTTTCTTGCACTCGGGTTTGAATGTCATTTACAGGCAGGAGGAGAAAGGCAGGTTTCAGCAGTTTTGATGTCAGCAAAGCAAAGCAAAGCAACCTCGTGTCTGTCTTTTATCTGATGTGAGTGATGCCAAGATGGTTTTTTGCCTTTTCTTTTAGATACCTTTTATATAACTTCTATGTAACCTCAGTATTCTTAGCATGCATTAAGTCTGATAACAGCATAGTCCTAGTATTTTGTTAGGCCAGGAGACCAAACATCCTAAAGACCTTGTAGTAGGAGGCCAGAAAACCCTACACTATCTTGGGAAACCAAGGTCCTCTCTAGAAAATATCCTGTAAACTGGAGATTTGGCCCATCTATGGGGGAATCCCATGGATGGGGGAATATCACACCATTCATCCAGGCCTCCCATTGGGACATCCTTGTTAGATATGCTAATTTGTAAGGTCTATAAATTGTATACACAATCAATGGTGTCTGTGCATTGCGGCACATTCCACCCTGGTGAAGCAGTGCACCAATAAGGATCCTTATTAAATACTGAGATAAAACCCCCTTTATCCCTTAACTTTGTCTGGTTCTCAGTTTTTAAGACCAGGAGAGGCAGCATGAGAGGCTTATAGAACTGCATTTTACCTCATCATGTGTCTGGACTAGGAGGGAAGACTTCTAGCCCTGTCCCACTTAGAGAGGGACACTGGTGACTTGTCAGATCAGCCTGACTGCAGTTGTGTGCCTAAGTACAGATGTGTGGCTGTGGATGTTTCAGGGGCAGGGCTGCAGTTTGACTCCAGTGCCAAAACTGAGAATTTGTGGTTTTAATTTCTTATGATCTTTAGGGAGCAATAGTATTTTTGCACCATGCTCATGTTGTGCCTCTCTCCCTCTCTGCAACCCTAGATCTTGACTGAGTGTCAAAGTGTAATGAGGTCATGATTTACAAGTAACATTTTTAATAAGGGTAATTGCTTTGCTGCTGATGCAAACACTCCTTTCCCTGGAGCATGCACAGAGTTTTCTACTGAGTCGACACACAGCTCAAGGGGGACCTTGTGTGACACAGCAGGGCCAAGGGCTCCCTCTGCTTCTCCCCTTGCTTGTATCGAGGGGTTCCTCCTGTGAAAAGGCAGAGCACTCCTTGCCTCAGAGGCCCTCCTGGGCTCAGCGTGGGAGACATTCATGGAATGACCCACAAAAGTCCAGACACTGAGCAAATTAAATCATTTCTGACAGAGCTCTGCCCTGGTCCTGTTTGCTGCTGGGCTGTGCTAGGGAGCTCAGATGCTGGCATAACCAGGAGGACTCCCAGGCATCTCTGCCTCTGTTCCCTCTTGCTCTCCACCCCTGCCAAAGGTAAGTCAATTGGACTGGAGAGCGGAGCCCCTTTCAACCTGGCCAAAAAGAAAAAGTGAAATTGTGCCTATTTCTCTACTAAACATAGTGCTTGTTTCCATGAGAGGATTTGCTTGTTTCCTTTTGTAGGAATATGCCTCAACCCTCCTGCTGAATGGCTATGAAACTCTAGAGGACTTAAAGGATCTACATGAAAGCCACCTCATTGAATTAAATATTTCTAACCCAGAAGATAGGGCAAAATTGTTATCAGCAATTGAAAATCTCCAGGACTGTGACAGTAAGTGTTTAAGATTTGTCAAGAGTATATGCACTATTATCTTAAGCAAAAGAGAGCTCAGGTCAAACAGCTCCAATAAAAAAAATTTCTTTAATTTTTCAACAACATTCTGCAGATAATTACAATTTTTTTTCTTCTCTCGCTTCATCCCACACTTAAATCCTTATCCAAATTAGCTTTTCTTGTAAGAAAGTATTGTAAAAAATATATATATAATATGTATAAAATATATATTTTATATATATATATATATAAAATATGATAGCTGATTTGCATTCTTCTCTCAAAATTAACCTAACTTCTGTTTCCGATGAGCTTCCAAGAGTTGAACATATGGGGTGTGTATTTGCACATGTATTGGTCACCATTTTGTGTATTGATCACCAAAATGGTGTGTTGATCGCCGTTTTGTTTTCTTCACTTGTTCCTTTTGTGGGGAGTGGAAAAGCTAGGATACGGAACAGGAAAAACTTTTCTTATGATATCTTAATGATATTTCCAGTCTGACTTTGAATTGTAAATAATTTATGTCAATTTTGTAGGAACTACAGCTAACCACCTACTTAATTAGACACAGCCAAAACAGGAGGGGTTTTCATCTTCATTAATATTTGTGCATACTCCCCCTATGCTGAGCAGTCATGTCATCAAATGTGCACTTCCAATTGAGAAGCGTAGAAAAAAGAGAAAGAGGGATAAACAGTGTCTTCCTGGGATAGTTTAATAGCAATTTTTCAGGCATCCACTTATTATCTCCTCAGTATGTAGACAGCTTTCCATTTTTTTCAGAATGTTTGGGCTTTTTTTGCAACCCCATTTGTACATTAAGTTGTTCCTGTTCTTATTCAGCTTCCAGTGAAAGGCTCTTGCAAATATGCTGGAGTGCCATTAGAAAGGTTTTCTTTGCCCTCCAGGTTCAGAAGTTCTTTCTGGTCTGTAGCTTTGTGAGATGACAGGTTTGAAAAGAACTCTTGAAGGGCTGTCTATGTAGAAGCAACGATTGAAGGAGTGAATCCAGAAAAAGAAAAGGGTTACATTTTGCACAAGTTTTATTGCAAGGATCTGCCAGTAAATCACTTGAAAATGTATATACTGAGCACAGTGTGTTTGTTGTGGGAACCAGCCTCGCTGTGCTTTCTGCATGTATTACTGCAAATGTTTTTCCACATTTAACACCAGAAAAATAGTAAAGAAAAATGCTAGATTGTAATTTTGCAGTTTTGCATCAGTGTGAAAGCCAAACTGAAACATAATGGTTTCTAGCAGACCACACAAGTGCTGAACTGTTCTGTAGTGGTGAGAATATGGTTTGCTATTTGTATTTGCTGGGTAACAAAAAGCAGAGCAAGCAGTTTTCGATACTGAATGTGTCTTAACACCTAATGTTCTACATGCACCTGTGCAAGAACCAAACCTAACAAGGACCTTATATGTCCCATATTCTCAAAATTAATATATTCGCACTTATTATCCAAATTGGGTTCTTCCTACATTAGCAGCATAGGATTTAGTCACTTCTCCAGGCAAAACAGTGTCCCTGATGTCATCTGCATGGTTTAATAGTTCAAATTCTTGTAACAGCTCTGGGAATAATAACATTAAATCTTATAAAGGGGTCCATGCTTCAGAATCAGTGACAACACTGTAGTCTTATTTCAAGAGATGAAATGAATATTTGTTTCACATGCACTTTAGATAGTATAGCAGATCTTTCCAGTATTCAAATTCAATCAAATAATTTTCCCATAATTTATGAATGCTCGCAGGGACCAGAACAACAACATCTTTTGTGTCATACCAGCTATAAGTATTCATTTAAGTCTAGTTAAATTTGGTAAGATTTGTGTATATTTTAAGGTAAGCTATGAGTAAATACTGTCCTAGTTTGATTCTTGAATCCTTGCCGTGTCTGGTTGCAAAGGGTCAGAGCATTTGTCACATGACTGGTGGGGACAGAACTGAACAACCTGTTCCAGAAAGGATGATACTAAAGACCAAAATGGATAGTAGCTATCTGTTAAGTTGTTATAACAAAAGACAGGGCGTCAAGATGATCTTGGGGATAAGCTCCGCATGAGTCTGACGTTGTACGAATCATTTGACCTCTTTGTCCTTCTGTCAATCAGATTGGAAAATTGGGTTGAAAGAGCTGGGTGCTACTGTGAAAGTGAATTCTGCATCTGGACTGAACTTTCCTGGGTCAATATTTTTTTTTTCCTAAATGGGCATGGTTCAGTTCAGCATAAATGATTTTTTAATTAAAATTGATTTTGTGCATTGCTTAGAAGCGAGCTGCATAATTACCCACAGCTACAACGTAATCTGTTTACTGGCCAAGAGAATTCTAGATAGAATTTCAGCACTTTCCAGGTAAAAAGCTCACTTTTTAAAAATAAGCTTTATGAAAAAGTAAGCTAAGGCCATAGACAGTTACTGTCCTAGGCCCATCTTTCTCACAGAGCTTGGAAGACTTCCATGTCTCTGCATTCCATTCATGCTTCCATGAAGCACGTGTTTGATTAATGGATGGAGAGGCAGGTATGGCCCAGAGTTGAAATACAAGGGTTTCTGAGTTTTTGTGACACTGCCATTACTCAGAACAACCAAGTGTGCTGGAACATAGCTTCATTTTACTAGACCCTCCTATAAATGCAGTAAAACAAGATTTCATATTTCTTTAATGTGAAATCTGATCTTGTGAGATGTCCAGAGGTTTTTACAAGGCTTTTAATTTCTTTCTCATTCCTTGGCTTTTTCTTGACATTTATTGTATGTTATACTAAGTAATTTCTTCATGACACGTACTCGTGGTGTATAATTCATCTTGCAGAATAAACATTTATTGAGTTTTCTAACCAAAAGACCTGCAGCAGTAGTTTCCACATTATATGCTACTTAAAGCCATGCAAAATATAGGATTTTTGACAGTGACATTTTTTTAAACTTACATTTGATTTAGACTTGAGTGAATTTGAAGGAATAAATTTTACCCATCTTATACCATTAATTTTAAAAAGTAAGTTTTATTTAGCAATTGCTACTACACAGTGTTTTTAAAGCAGTTTTTTTCTTTCTATTACTGCACTATCTTCTTTCTTCCTTTCCTGAGAGTCCAGGCCCAAATTCATCATCTTCAAGTACTTCATGCAGCAAGGCTATCCTAGAACAGCAAGTGTTTGTAAGCTCCTCATGACCTTCCCCCCTTGTCAGACACTTTTTTAGATTTTCTATAAGTTGGTCAGGCCTATATATTTGGGACAAAAATCTTGGTTTCCATGAATTCATGGCTGTGAGGAAAAAAAAAAAGGCTTTTTCATAAAGTATTTCTTAATAACTTTCCATTCTTCTCCCAGATGGCTTCTAGACAGGAGATGGATGTCTGTGCTTTTGTAGGATGCTATTTTTAAAGCGAAGCAGTTGCTGGATGGTTAATGAATAAAGTAATAAAAGAAGTTAGGAACTTCTTTTCTTGACCGCTTCCCAGGACACACGTTTCTGTGTGTGCAAAATAGGCTTGATTCTCTTCTCACATAGATGATTTAAATCAAGAGGTTCATCCCTGAAATCCACTGGGTTACACTAGTCCAAAGCTATTCTGAGCTAAATAAAAATTAGACTCCATTGGATATGTGCATGCAGGTAATTTTATGGAAAAAACCCCAAAAGGTGAATATGTGCAATTTGGGGGATAATATTTTACACTTATCTCCCCAAATCCATTCCTTAGCTTACTTTTCATATTTAAGTACAGATCATTCTTTAAATTCCACTACTAATACCATAAGTATATAAGTAAATAAGGTTTACTCTTTATTTATTGTTCTTGGACAGCAAGATAGGAGATAAATAAGAACAGTTACTTTCTGAGACTTTCAGTTCTCAGTCGCATCCCTTATGTGAGAATCAGGGACCAAGAGTTCCATTTTACACTGGGCAGTGCCTTTCAATACATGGGATCATATAGCATCTTGTCAAGGTGAAATGGTGCTCAAAGACAATCTCCCCTTCTGTACTGTGGTAGAACACATTGGCCTGAACATAATATTTCCAGATTTTCCAAGGAAGCTCATACTTGCATGAGTATTAGTATTTTTCACCTTTTTTTTTTTTTCAGATCTGTTTGCTTCCACATTTTAGATAAAAAAAAGAAGCTTCTCATTTCGGTTTTCACCACAAGTTCTTACATCAGTTCAATAACTTTTTCCTCCCACAAAAGCTGTGCCACTGATTTTAGTGGATGCAATACTTTAAGTTGCGTATCTGTACATATCCACAAAATATTTAGTCTTTTGAATGCCCAAAGTACTGCACAAACCACTTCAGGTTTCTCTGCATCTTTTCCAAGAATTACTGCCCCAAAATGATCTTTCTGAGTCTGATGCATTGTGAGATCTCATTTCATTTTCACACTTAGATGGTCTGACTGGTACAGGTGATACATGGCCTGCATACATACATAGCAGGTCTGCCTTCATCCTCCAAAACTGACTTTGTTCAGTGGGGGGCAAGGAGCAATGGCCATAAATTAAAACACAAGAAGTTTAATCTCAACATGAAGAACTTTACACTGAGGGAGGCAGAGCACTGGAGCAGCTGCCCAGAGAGGGCACAGAGTCTCCCTCTCTGGAGACATTCCAAACCCACCTGGACACATTCCTGTCACCCGCTCTGGGTGACCCTGCCCTGGCAGGGGGGTTGGACCAGATATCTCCAGAGGTCTGTTCCAAGTATCCTGTGATTCTGTGATTTTGAGCCTTTAGTTATTGAAAGGTGCTGCTCAGTACGGCACCACTGCACCTCCCAGGAGGGCAGGTGAGTGACTCAGCCTAAAGCACAGTACTCCTAGCCCAGCTGACAAAACCCACAAAGACAAACTCTCAGAGAGCACACTCATGAAGTTCGGTTTGCTCTTGGGGGACCTTCTTTTTGTCCAAGACAAAATCCAAGCCTCCTGCCACTCGTCTGGTTTAAACTGACATAACTGCACAGGAGTCAGAGTGACCTCTGTGCATTCTTGAGTTGAATTCCCTTAAACCCATGCTTAAAGTGCTTCCCTAATCAGGATTTTAACCTCATTAGAAAGGGGAAAAGAGCTGGTGAAGGAAAAAAGAAATCTATCCTTGCACGTGTCATGCACATCCAAGTCATTGAATAACAAAAACTCATTTTAAAGGTCTAAGTAGTGAGGAAGATAAGGGATGCTTCACACATCTCTTACCAAGGCTAAAGGCCTCACATTTTTTTCAGAAGTGTGAATATAATCCTACTGTCTAAAAGAGTACTGGAATATATGTGTCAAAATGATGCATATCTTAGGCTCTTCTGGCCATATCATAGACAACAGTGACTGAGAGCCATTTATCTTATGTGAAACTGCTTTACTGTAGAAAAATGATAGGACTTCCATTTGTTGATAAGATAGTTATTTCTGATGATTCCGCAACATCTAACGGCAGTTTAATTTTATCAATTCCTGTTTTCTGTGCAGCGTGGCTTTCTTCTCATGTCCAAAAGATTAAGGCAGCAAACCTACCTTTCCTAATGTAGAACTTGAGTGTGTACATGTTAGAGACAGGACTTAAGTAGAATGGAATAGAAGAGCCAAAATCTTAAAAAAAAAAAAAAAAAAGAGTAAAAGTTCCTTTGCTCTTCTCAAAAAGCAACTTCTAAAATTGCATGATATGTATTTTTTATAATACTCAGGATCCTGTTCAAATGGTTTAGTAGTTACTGCATAATATTTAAGACTGCTTTAAAGAGAAAAAGGCACCAAAGTTTGCTTACGAAAGTAAAGATCAAAGTCTTTTCTTCATAAAAATGGAGAGGGAGGGGTGTTCTTCCAACTTTTTCTGCTTAGCATGAAAAGTAGAAAATATAACACTTTTACTGTCTCAAACACCTGAATATTTTTGGTTTTCAGTCTTTCATTTAAGAAAATTCAACTATTTTTACAGGAAGTTTTACATATATGTATGTCTTCTAAATAGAAATTTCTCATTTTCCTAATTGACCTAATTTCAAAATAAAAAAAAAAAAAAGAAATCTCGGTTCTAGGCTTGTCTGTGCATTTTTCCCTGAAACACACTAGGGAGACATGGATAAAAAAAATTAGGAATGGTTGTTCACATAGGGACTGCTCAGATTATGCAGACAAGCAGTTACAAGGCACTAATACAGTGGCTGATACGGCATTTTCCTTTTAATCCACTGGTTACTTGGTCTTCTTTCCATTGAAAAACAAACAAAGTGGATGGAGGCTTCTCTCTGACCTTGAAAATGTAAACAGGATTAACACTTTTTAGGTCAGCGCTTGCCAGGGCAGCAGACGATCTGGAGCAGCGGATGGAAGGGCAGCGAGCAGCGTTGGGCGGCCGAGCGGATTAGGGGGAGGCAGCAGGGCAGGAGGGCTCCCGGGGCTGCACAAGCCTTGGATCCCTTTGCCCTGCTGGGATGGGGCTGAGGACACTCAGGACAAGGCTTTGCTGGGGCATCGTTGCTTTTTGTGCTGAGCTGCTCCTGTCGCTGCCAGCAGCGAGGGAATACCTTCAGCACTGCGATGCCTTTGTAATTCCTCCCTGACTTCCATCAGAAATCAATTGGACCCTACATCATCAAATATTTTCCCTGCAAAGAGAGAGATAACATTTGACATGACAAACTGTGTTCTGTAAAGTGAGAAGGAGATCAAACAGTTACAGATATCAATTAAATCTGCTGCAACGTGTGCTCTTTCACGCAAGTGCAATTAACAATTAATTTATTAAAGAACAAGGTGGAACTTTTATTCCTTGGAAAATATTTAAAGTAATTTTTTTTAATTATTCTTCAAAATACATCTGGTTCTATCTATACCCTCAGACTTTATTTAAAAAATAACTAAGTTGAGACTTTGGATTCTTTAAAAAATCACCTAAGTTTTTCAATTTATAAGGCAATTGGAAGTTAGAAGATACTAAGCTGATTTAATCAGGCCAAACAAATCTACAAGACTTCCATCAAGACCTCAAAATGCTTCTCAGTAAATCAAAATGCTTTGTGAAATAAGCTTGTTGAAATCTCACACAATGAAAGAGGTCTCCAAAGAAACTCTTCCGCTGTTCCATTTCACTGTAAAGGAGTGAAAAATTCCAGTGTTTCATTTCTAATTTATTCTGTGTTATTCAATACAAGATAGAAAAAAAACAAAACAAATTTAAAATCTTTCCCATTTTATCAAATCTTATAATTTCCAACAATTGAAATAAAAGTCAGTATGAATGTTCTTTGTGGAAATTTTAAAACTCTAGGAACTAAAAGAGATTTAGATTTTGACACAGCATTAAATCCTTCATATCTTTGGACTTCCATTCTGCCTGAACTTGAATTGAGACAGTTTAAATATGACTAAAGATCCAGAACTGGCTGTTTAACCAAAGAGTAACAAAACAAGTGGAAGAAGGGAACTTTGCAAAAGCAAAAAGGTACCATTTTTCTGAAGGGCTAAAAATCTGGAGTGAAACCATCTGTTGCCTCTGAGATGTGTTCCCTATACTTTGTTCAGAAAGCCAAATACAGTTTGAAGTAAAACTAAAGCTACAGGTGGTTGGTAACAGCACAAGAAAAAAAGTAGGAAATGGAAAGATTTGTATTTTATATCTTATTTTCTTAAGAAATTTACTGTGAGTAAACATGTACTTCACAGCTAGAGAACAGGAAGAGGAAATTTAAAACCAGTACATATAAGAGTCCTTATATACTTGTATGTCCTCTCTTGTTGAACTTTTCTTGAGAGGTCTGTTGATACTGCCACTGAGTTCCAGATTTTTGAATTTGAACAGATTAGTCATACAGCAGCTAAACAAGGGCAAATTTTTTGCAAGATAATTTGCTTCTACTTAGTTTTGGAACAGTGTTCAAAAACCATACAGCAGAAATTAGGCATCTTAGCTTCCTCTGAGGTTTCTGTTTTGGAAAGCTCGGTGGAAGTTTCCATCAGCCACCCACTCCTGCTGAAAAGCTCGGTGCTTTAGAAAAGCTGGTTACCATGTCCTTGTGCCGAGCACTTCTGAAGAGCAGCACATTCTCTCTCCTGCAGAGAGCACATCAGGTGGTGGGGGCTGCACTCTAAAAACAGATCTATAGAGAAGTATGTTTTAAACAAGGCTCAGTGGGCCCCGTGGTTCATTCAGTATCTCACTCTGCAGTACACGAGCTCGGGAGGGGGAACATCTCTGCAGTGGGCACAGTGACCACGCACGGTGACTGCTGCACTCTGCACAGCCTGAAGGACCCCAGCATAAAGGATCAGGCCAAAGCCCCCAGCATTCATCTCTGAGAAACATCCAGAAGGAAAAAGACCAACCTCATTTTCAACTCAGATATTGTTACACTCATGTAATCGTACTTTTAATTCTCTGATGCTGAGGTTTCTGTTTCTGATGGACAAAATAGATTGATGTAGTCATGTGTAGATTACCAGCTCTGCTTCCAAAGTTGTTCAAGATCAGTCATGCTGCTATCTCAGCTCTTTCCCAAGGCACTTGTATTGACAATTTTTTCTTTCCTTTTCTGTTCTTTCTAGTTGAAGAACAGCAGAAAAGCGAGGATGGTCAGGAGACGCAGAATTTAAGCCCTCACCAGAGTTTTGACAAATCACAGTTAAATGACTGTCCAAGAGATTCTGGCTGTTACATCTCATCAGAGAATTCAGATAATGGTAAAGAAGAAGCAGACCCAGAAGCCCTGTCTGACATGGTGCAGTCAATAACAATCAGTGAGTCAAACTGATTCGGTACTGCTGCTTTTCTGCAGATTTTCAGAAAAGACAATCACATTTGTCAGTATGGTGGCACAGAAGCAGAATACAAAATATTCTCAACACTGAAAATCTACCTTTTTCTGAATCATGATGCTGTAAACTGTTTCATATGTGGACACTTGATAACTAAATGTTAGTTGACTATAAGAATTTCTCATCTTTTTCTTTTCAATGAATCCACAGGTATTTCCCTGAAAAAGCTTTTACAAAAGTATTTATAAATATTTGTACAGCAAATGCATTTTCTATAATAGTAGAGATTTTTTCTAGGTAGTGGTTCATAATCTGGAACTGTCCAAAATGTAAATATTGTACATATTTATTTTAAAAATGTATGGATTAATCACACTGTCTCTATTTTCAGCTGTGTTTTGCTGAAATGTGTACAGAATGTCTTTTCACTGAAATGTAATCATAATAAAAAGGTGGATACAGTCAAGCCCTACTTTGAAAAGTACCGATTCTCACTAATATTAAAGCTGTTTCACGCAGCTCACTTTTCTCCAGAATGAGCTCTAAAGTAGACTGTCATTTCCTCTACTTTTTCCTGGAGGCATGAGAGAACTGTAGGGTGAATCTGAATCCAGTTCTCTGTGGTCCTTGTGTTGTGGAAGAACAGAGCCATCCAAATAGCAGTGGCAATTTTTTTATGGCTCTTTTCAAACCTGTTCTCATTTGTCCCAAGCATTATACAGAGAATTCAAACTCAGAGAAAAAAAGCCATCAGGATGAGTGCTATGCTTTTATGATAATGTTTTGTGAAGGTGTTGACTTTTGTGTGTGGTGTGAAGTTTGTTAATAGAGTATGTGTTTGTATACAGAACTTGGAACCTAACATGGTTATTGTACCTGACTCTCTTTCATATGAGATTTTATTGTCTTTTCCCAGTATATTTCACACTGGAAAACACATTTTAACTGCCTGTCTTCTTTTAGAGTACTTCCTTCAATAATAAACAGAATCATGTGTTTAAGCTCTTTAAAAATACTTGATTTTTAATGTGGTCATTACATTTCAAAGACTGCTTTCTTCTAAGGCTAACACAGTCAATAGTAATTCCACTGATTATTTTTAGTGTGCATAAGAATCTGTGTATCAAGTCAAGAGGGAGACTTTTTGCTCGGTCATTAGTCACAAAATTTTCATAATTTAAGGAATTTTGCATTTATGCTAAAGAGTTTCCACATATTGTTGACAGCTTGAAAGAAAATCACCTTCAGAAGAGAGGAAACACAAAAAGTTCCACCCCTAAAAGAGTATTTCTGAAGAACCTATAAACAAATGGAAAGCTTTTTCTCCCTTTCTTTTTCTTTTCCCCAATGCAAGTGTTTTCTGTATTTTCCTGACTTGTCAAAAAACTACTGCTGTCAGACTCCTAACACACAAGTCTGCTTTGAAGGCTGTAGTATAAAATTGCAATTCTAGAAAATTGCATTAATAAGATTTCAAAGGTTTGGAGTAAATAAACTCTGTTTAGGAAAAAAAAACCCAAAAACCAAAAACAAACCATAACACGAAAACCTCCACCAAATATGAGAAAGGGAGCTACTATGATTTGTTTCTGGTTTTAACTTACTTTTCATACCAGCAACCAATGTCATCATTTAGCAGCAATGACCCCATACTGCCAGGTGTGGTGGGGATGGAGAACCCTTGGTGGGATGAAGAATGTGAGAGCTTGTATCAAGCAGCTATATTTGTTTCTTAAAGCTTTTCCAGCCAGTAGTGCATCAGGACATGCAGTACTGACATTACTTAATATGACTTAACTTCTGAAATAATGGGTTTCAATTGGCTTCTATCATCTCCTCATTCTAGAGAAGGACTAAATTCAGCTTGAACTCCTCTCAGAGGGAGGTTATCTTTTGGCTTTTGTGGCAGATGGACTTAGTCTTCAGGTTCTGAAGACATCTGCAAAATTGCTGGACCTATAAAAGTATGTTGAGGTGAGCTTAAATATGATTGTGACTGTCAAGAAGCAGTTAAGTTAGCTGGGTCAAGGACTAACAGCCACAGAGACCAGAGCTGTGCCCTGATATAAATACTCTGAGAAATGTTAATTTGCACAGGCTTGCAAATGAAAATAGGCCTCCCTAACCAGTTGCAGTGAGACAGGCAAAGATTTCAACAGAGCAAAATACCCAACAGCTGCTATATTTTACAGGAATTAAACTCTGCCTGTTGGGCTGATGACAAGGGGATACAGGTGTAAGGTTAAGTAGCTGGGAACGAAGGGCATGAGTTGTAACTGCTCTGATCTCTAATCAGTAAGGCTTTGTCCAAAGGGCTTCTTATTTAGAAAAATATATCAACTGAAAGCTTGTTTGAGACTTTTGTAGCTTCCTGCGAAGGCAGAGCAGATTAGATCTCAAACTGAGACACTTCCGCTCTCTCACACTGTTCTGAGAAAAAGAATGAGGAAATTTTGAACCACAAAGAAAAAATTGTGTTTCCTACAAGCAGCAGACCCAACTTGCTTGCCTCTCTCAGTGGTCTCGTTAATCACACTGATCATGGATTAAACGGTTTGGAACAGCAGAAGCATTTCTCCAACTGGTTTAAGTGCTGGGTAATCTGAATAAAAAGTTATTCTAGGAGTTCTTGGAAAAAGTCTGGTGGAGATCTGAGTGACTTTCAAGTTATCCTTAAAATGTACCTGAGATAGGGAAGAGAAGAAAGCAGTAGAGGTTTTGTTCCTGTCACTTGCTCAAGAGTGTCATGTCATTTTTATGTAATTTTCATTTTTATTAACCTTCATCTACATTTAAGGAGGACTAAGACATTTGCAATTCTCTTATTTGGAGCCTGTTCCCTGCAGTTACAAAGAGATGCAAAGCCAGTCAGTAACATCAGAGGCAAAGCTGAGGAGGGCAGCCCTTGTAGCCTTTAGGCAGTGGGGATTTCCTGGCTGCACAGGGCTGTGCTGCAGACTCCCCCAGAGCTGGCTACTGACACACGTGCTGCTGCTGCCCACAGCAGAAAGCCACAACTCAGAAAGACTTGGGTGACCCCCACAAGAATTCAGGTGGTGGCAGGCCTCCTCCTTCCCAAAGCAAAACCCTCTCTGGTCAAGGTTAGCAGTGTTTACCAGCGCTGCCCCATGCTCAGCCCCATGTGCCTGCCATCCACAGCTGGCCCCACATGAACGGAGGGTTGCTCTACTATCAAAAAGAGGAGCTGAGTGCCAGACCATGCATGATCCATGTGAACTAGCCTGCAGGTCCCGGGAGGCAGCATCCTGCTTTCCAGAATTTGTAACAGCACCTCTGAAAGTCAGAGTGCATGAATGCAGCAGCGTAGGGACTACCAGCAAGGAAGGGCTTGCTTTCATTTTGCTGAGGTGCCCATCAGCACAGGAAGCACAATGAAGAATTTGGGCAGCTCTGTGGAAATTCTGGAGAAGATTCATCTCTGAGGAACTAAACTAACTAGAGGCTGCCAGCTGGACTCCACAGCACTCACACAACCCAATTGGCCCAGCCAATTTTCCACCCACCTTACCACTCAGTTTTCCATCCCGTAGTTCCCCAGTTCTACCCCTGAGTGTCTGGTTTGTGATGTGCAGGAGCCCACAGCTCATCAGCTGTGATATAAAGGGTGCCTTTGTACCACAGCACTTTCTCCCACATAGTGGCAATTGAAATAATTTCTGACATTGCCATGGAGCTGCATCACACTGGTAGACCCATTTGTAAAGAAGGCTGGTGCACAGATAACAAGGCAATATTGAAAGAATAAATGGGTGCTATGAAACAGACAGGCCAGTTTGTAGATGTCACAGTGTTCACAGGATGAGTACAACCTGGTACAACCTGCCCCTTGCCTGGAAATCAGCTTTTCCATCAAGTCAAGGCCAGTACAGTTCTTTCTGCCCACACAAACACGCACAGATCTGTGGACAACATGAAAGGGAAGATGTGCCACAGGCTGCCCCAGTGCCTTGGGTCACGGTGGCAGCTTGTACATGTCCTAAGACAGCTGTGACGGCAGTCGTGCAACTGAGTCACAGTGGCACAGATGCCTGAGCCTTTTGTCAGTCAGAGAGAAGCAGTCTCAACATGTCTAGTAACAGCATGGCAAACACTCTGCCTTTTTCACAGCTCAAAGATGAGGTTTTGGCTATGTCAGCTTTTGAATAGATTATTTGCATCATGCTCTGTCTGCTGGCTGTGTATGTTGTGATACTGCTTTGTGCAATGACACTCCTTTTGCTGGTCCAGGAACAGGTGACGTAGGAGGGCACAGTATATCCCTTTGGTTTAAGAGTTCCTGCATGAGATGTTCATTTGTGTCCCTGATTCTCAGTTCCTGGGAGGCAATGAGCAGATGTTTGCCTACAACTGAGGAGCATGTGGAACAGGCTATAATATGGCTGTATGGAGCATTCAGTTTGTATGTATTACTCAGTATCACCTGGTGAACCCACCAGCCTGCAGCTCCTCATCGGCCTGTGGTTTCCTGAGGACTGGCCAGAGGACCGACACAGGCAGGAATCTTTGCTACAGTCACAGGCTGGAATCCTTGCTGCAGGTTGCCAACTCTTAAACTGAACCCAGTTTTGGGATTCCCAGCACAGGAAGGACCTGTTGGAGCCAGGCCAGAGGAGGCACCAAGGTGATCAGAGGGATGGAGCAGCTCTGCTGTGAGGAAAGGCTGAGAGAACTGGGATTGTTCATCCTGGAAAAGAAAAGGCTTTGGGGTGATGTAATTGTGGCCTTTCAGTACCTGAAGGGAGCCCAGAGGAAAGATGAAGAGAGACTATTTACAAGGGCTTGGTGTGACAGGTCAAGGGTGAATGGCTTCAAACTGACAGAAAGCAGGTCTGGGTAAGAGATTAGGAAAAATATTATTTGTGGTGAGGGTGGCAAGGCACTGGCATGGTCGCTCAGAGGAGTTGGGGATGCCTCATCCCTGGAAGTGTTTAAAGCCAGGTTGGATGGAGCTCTGAGCAACTTGGTCCTCTGAAAAGTGTCCCTGCCCATGGTAGGGGATTGGAATAGATGATCTGTAAGGTTACTTGCAAAGCATTCTTTGGCTCTATAATTCTGTGATTTTATGATTAACTGATTCTAGAGGAAGGGCTGGTCTGTTCACTGCAAAACCAATAGTGGTTACAAACCTATTTTCTCCTGGCTAGGAAAGGCCAACAAATGCCACTACAGACACATAGGCAAAGGGGGCTGGAGAACAGTAACAAATTCAGGGAAACACAGGTGTTGAATCTACAGAGTTGCATCATGTATAAACAGCAGTCATTGAACTAGGCATTCAGGGAAATACATATTCTCTAGAAGGAGGACATGGTGGGAGGGCATCCATGATAGGCTTGGAGGATCTGAGAGGGTAATTTTATTTTTTATGGCTAGGCAGAATTAGGTCTGACATGCTCAGAAATCTCTGCTAGGCATGAGAACTGTCTGCTGACAGCAAGAGCACAGAAAATCTGCCTGTGCCAAGAAGTCATACACCAATGAGGGACAAGAGGGCTGGAGGGCAGGTGGTGTTCCTTAACAGTTCACATACCTTGGCTGCTTAATTTAAGCCTGGCCAGTGTCCCACAAAGTGCATGTCTCCTGGGCAAAGCACACATGTCCTCCCTCCTAGGGCCCTTTCCTCATGCCAATCCAGAATATTTCTCTGGAGGACCTCTCGTGCTGCGTGCCACACACAGGTTTCTAAGTTGGAACATCAACGGTGTAGCCATGTTGTGCAACTCAGCATTAGGACATGGAGACAGGTCAGGACTGCGCAGGGCCATCAGGTAATTTTGGCAGACTGTGGCCAAGCTGGTGACACCTTTTGGCTACCAGTTATGTCCATATGGCTGAGGGAGGGAGGGCATGGGAGGGCTTCAACCTGAATCGTTCCCAAGCCTCAGCTTTCCTACAGATGGAACCAAACTGTGTGAATTGTAGATACCCTGAATGCAAACACAAAAGTGTTGAGGGTTCCTCAGTGACTTGGATGCAGTGT